TTGCCCCTCCCCCTTCCCTCTCCTCATTGGTAATCACTACTTTGTTCTCTATAGCTGTGAATCTTTTTCTGTTTTGTTATATTCGCTTGTTTTGTTTTTAGATTCCACATATAAGTGATGACATACAGTATTTATCTTTCTCTGTTTGACTTATTTCACTAAGCATAGTACCCTCTAGGTTCATCCATGTTGCTGCAAAGGCAGAATTTCATTCTTTTTTTTGGTTGAGTAATATTCCATTCTCTCTCTCTCTCTCTCTCTCTCTCTCTCTCTCTCTCTCTATATATATATATATATATATATATATATATATATTCTATATATATACCACATCTTTATTCATTCATAGGTTGCTTCCATATCTTGCCTATTGTAAATAATGCTGCTATGAACATTGGGGTACATGTATCTTTTTGAATGAGTGTTTTTGGTTTTTTTAGATGTATACTCAGAAGTGGAATTACTGGATCACATGGTAGTTCAATTTTTAGTTTTCTGAGGAACCTCCATACTGTTTTCTACAGTGGCTGCACCAATTTACATTTCTACCAACTGTGTACAAGGGTTCCCTTTTCTCCATATCCTCACCAACATTTGTTATTTGTCTTCTTTTTGATGATAGCCATTCTGACATGTGTGAGGTGATATCTCATTGTGGTTTTGATTTTAATTTTCCTGATGATTAGTGGTGTGTCTGTTGATCATCTGCATTTACTCTTTGGAAAAATGTGTATTGAATTCTTCTGTGCATTTTTAATTCTGTTTTTTGCTGGTTTGTTTGTTTTTGATGTTGAGTTGTATGAGCTTATTGCAAATATTTTCTCCCATTCAGTAGGTTATCTTTTCATTTTGTTGATGGTTTCCTTTGCTTTGCAAAAACTTTTAAATTTAATTAGGTCCCATTGTTTATTTTTGCTATTGGTTCTTTTCCCTTAGGAGACTGATCCATAAAAATATTGCTGCAATTGATGTCAAAGAGTGTTTTGCCTCTGTTCTCTCCTAAGAGCTTTTTCACATATTACATTTAGGTCTTTAATCCATCTTGAGTCTATTTTTGTATATGGTGTGAGAAAATGTACTAATTTCATCCTTTTACATGTAGCTCTCCAGTTTCCCAGCACCACTTATTGAATCTTGTTCTCTTCCTTTGTGGTTTGATGAATTATTTTTTTACTGTTATGCTTACATTACTCTCTCTCTCTCTCTCTCTCTCTCTGTCTCTTGGTATTTACTAAAGGATTGTTTTGTGGTTACCAGGAGGCTTTTGTATAATAACATAACATTCTATTTTAAATTGATAACAACATAAGTTTGATCCCTATATCTCAACATTTTTACTTTCCACCTCACAGTTTATATCTTTATGTCTTGTATATCCCTTAACTAATGATTGTAATAGTTGTTTTTACTGCTTTTGTCTTTTAATCTTTATACTAGCTTTATAAGTGATTAAACCACTAAATTTACTATATATTTACCTTTCCAGTGAAATATTTTCTCTCGTATGTTTTCTTGTTAGAAATTAAACTTTTTTTTTCATTTTAATAAGTCTTCCTAACAGTTCTTGTTAGGCCAGTTTAGTGGTGAAAACTCCTTTAGCTTTTGCTTGTATGGAAAACCCTTTCTCTCTCCTTAAATTCTACCAGATAACTTTTCTGGGTAAAGTATTATTCGTTGGATTTTTTATTTTTTGTTTCAACACTTTGAATATATCATTCTACTCCTTTCTGGCCTACAAAGTTTCTGCTGAAAAATCTACTGTTAGTCTTATGAGTGTTCCTTTATACATAACAAAATATTTCACTCTTGCTGCTCTTTAACATTCTCTCTCTGTCTTTAATTTTGACATTTTAATTATAATGTGTCTTGGTGTAGGTTTCTTTGGATTCATCTTATTTAAACTCGGAACTTCGTGGATCTGAATGCCTATTTCTTTACCCAGGTTAGGGAAGTTTTCATCCATTATTTCTTCAAGATTTCTGCTATTTTCTCTCTCTCCTCTCCTTCTGGGACACCTATAAGTTGAATGTGTGTCCATTGGGTTTTGCCTCATAAGCTACTTAAGCTATCTTCACTTTTAAAAAAAAATTACTCAATTTATTTTTTGCTGCTCTGATTGGGTGAGTTCTGCGGCCTTGTCTTAAAGTTGACTCATCCTCTTTTATGCTTCATCTAGTCTTCTGTTGAATCTGTCTAGTGTATTTTTCAGTTCAGTTATTGTATTCTTCAGCAGTGATTTCTATTTGGTACTTTCTCATATTTTCCCTCTTTTTGTTGAAGTTTTCCTGTGTCCATCCATTCTTCTCCCCAGGTCAGTGAGCATCATTATGACCATTACTTTGAACATTTTATCAGGTAAATTACTTATCTCTATTTCATTAAGGTTTTTTTTCTTTCTAGGTTTTATCTTGTTCTTTTATTTGGAATATATTCCTCTGTTTCTTTATTTTGCTTGACTCTGTTATGGTTTGTATACAGTAGATGAAATGAAGGCCTCTCCCAATATTGAAGAGTGGCCTCATGTAGGAGATAAAACTTATTATTCAACCCTGCTCCAGCTCTTTGTCATCTCTCAAATCTTTGTGCTTCTTCAAACAGATTATTATATTTTTAAATGCTCCCAGTATTTGAGGATATGCCAAGAACTCTCAGAGTTCCTAAGAGGAGTATCTCAGTACCTAGTTTCAAGCTGTTTGGAAGCTCTGTTCTTTTTTCTTAAAATTGTTTTGCCTCTTCAAGGTTTACTGTGCTTCCATACAAATTTTAAAATTGTTTGTTGTGGTCTGGGAAAAAAATGCCATTGGTATTTTGATAGGAATTGCATTAAATCTGTAGATTGCCTTGGGCTAGTATGGTCATTTTAACAATATTAATTCTTCCAATCCAAGAACATGGTATAGCTTTCCATCCACTTGTGTCATCTTCAATTTGTTTCATCAGTGTTTTATAATTTTCTGTATACAGACTTTTTACCTCCTTAGGTAGGTTTATTCCTAGGTATTTTATTCTTTTTGATTTGATGGTAAATGGGATTGTTTCCTTAATTTTTCTTCTGATAGTTTGTTGTTAGTATATAGAAATGCAACAGACTTCTGTATATTAATTTTGTATCCTGCAACTTTACTGAAATCATTAATGAGCTCTAGTAGTTTTCTGGTGGCATCTTTAGGATTTTCTATCTGTAGTATCATTTCATCTGCAAAAAACTATATGCCAATAAAATAGACAACCTGGAAGAAATGAACAAATTCTTAGAAAGATAAAATCTCCCAAGACTGAACCAGGAAGAAATAGAAAATATGAACAGACCAATTACCAGTAATAAAATTGAATCAGTAATTTAAAATTTCCCAAAAAACAAAAGTCCAGGATCAGATGGCTTCACAGGTGAATTCTACCAAACATTTAGAGAAGACTTAACACCTATCCTTCTCAAACTATTCCAAAAAATTGCAGAGGAAAGAACACTTCTGAAGTCATTTTATGAGACCAGCATCACACTACCAAAACCAGACAATGATATCACACAAGAAAAATTGCAAGCCAGATGAAATAAAATTTGTATTTTAAGGCATGAAAAGAAAAAATGACCAGTGAGATTAAAAGAATATCCAATTCACCAATTAGAATATGAAAAGATGCTCAATTGCATAATTCACCAGGGACATGAAAATTAAAACTGCATTAAGATAATCCTAGCACAGTGGCTGAAGTTTACAAGATTATAATACCAATATCAGTAAATATTTTACAGCAACAAGAACTCTCACACACTGGTTGACAAGGTAGGAATTAGCACAACCACTCTTCAAAATAATTTAGTAGTATCTTCTAAACTGAGCCTTCTAAAATAATTTTAAGAGCCAGGAATTCTACTCCCAGGTATATATTCAACAAATATGCATGCCCACATGCATCGAGAGACCTATACAAGAATATATGTAGCAGAGCTATTTGTATTAGATTCAAAAACAAGTAAAAGCTCTTTGTTCCCTTGAGGTCCTCCTGCTGGAGTGAGATGGAATAATCTCTATTTACCCTTATATGCTTTTCTTGTCTCAGAATGAAGTAGGTAGGATATAACATAATGTATGTAAGGTGATATGCATTTGCAGATATGAGATTAAATGTCCCCTTAAGAAGACCAAGATATGGACTCAGAAAGAAAGGGTGGGGAAAACTATTTGAAAATAAGGAGCTGACATTTCTCATGGCAGCTAATGTCTTAGTGATCTTTGCTGTCAGTATACCAGGATGGAAACTTGAGTTTTAAAAATTTATAAAATCAATTCACAAACATAGTAATTTTTTAAAAGTTAAACAGTATAGAAAGACATAAAATAAAATGTCTCTTTCCCATCCATAGTTCTTCAAATATAACCACTATTTTAGGTATACTTTCCAGGAAAGAAAAAAGGATACTTTGTCAGTTTATATACACATGTACTCTATTTTTTACATCTACCCCAATGTGTTAAGACTACAAATACCAATCTACTCCTCACTTTTTTCTCTTCACATTAATCAAGGTTGTCTTGCCTTCTTATATGTGCAACTTTATCTCATTCTTAATGTCTGCATTTTATGTCATTGTTTAGATGTATCAGAATATTCTTAAGCAGTCCTATTATGTTGCTTCAAGTGTTTTGGCTATTATGAATAATGTCACAAAAACATTATTTTAAAGCTATCTTCCATACTTTCCTTAAGGTATTTTCCAAGCAATAGAAATGTGGGGTCAAGGATATGAGCTTTTAAAAAACCCTAACATTTATTTTTTCACTTTGATCACTGGGCAGGAAACTTTGATTAGTAGTTGAGGATGGGTACTTCCACTTCCTTTTTTCTAATTTACTAATGCACCCTGCTTTGAAAAAGCTCCTTCTCAGATGTCTTCCTTGGGGCTACTGTGACAGTGTACAACTGTAAGATCAAGGCCAAACCTGGTATTCCTGAGAAAACCTCTCTTTTGGTCTTAGCCCTGGGCAGGCCAAGTCTTCATGCTGCTGTGGGTATCACTTCTGGTCCTGGGTAAGTAGAACAGCTCAACGTGGGCCCTGGGTGGGGTTGGGACAGCATGTCTCTACCATGGACCTGGCCTTTTCTTGGGGCTCAGCCCCTGCTCAGAGATTCTTTTCTGCCTGGGGAGATTATATTCTCTGGCTTCACTGTATAGCTCAGAGATTTCTCCCTTGAGGCTGAAAGCGTGGTCAGAGCTTCAACTTTACAAAGAAGGAAACCACAGTGACCACAACACTTAAGGGTTTATTCATTTTTTTCTACAACAAATATTACCTGATAAAGTCCAGAAAATGTATTATGTTTGCTTGTTCATATTGTCTCATTCAGAGAAGACCCTAGTTTTATCTCTGCAGAGGAGGAGTGTTTATCCCTTGTATGACAATGCCAGACCATGGTGCTGGACATGGGAGGGAAAGTTTTCTAATACAAAAGATGTCTCCTTCTTTTGCACACAAATGCAATCCACAGCTGTGATTGTCAGAAAAAGAACACAGGGAGGGGGAGACAAAGGCTGAGACTCACAGGGGGAAGTGGGCAAGGCAAGGGAAAAACCTAAGATGCATGACATTCTTTCTTTTTCCCTCCAGGTTTATTGAAGTATAATTGACAAATAAAAATTGTATATATTTAAGATGTACGAGATGTTTTGATATATATATATATATTATGCAGTAATAACCACAATCAGCTAGTTAACATTTCTCTCACTTCACATAATTACCGTGTGTGTGTGTGTGTGTGTGTGTGTGTGTGTGTGTGTGGTATGAACTCTCAGCAAATTTCAACAAAACATTATTAGTCACCATACTCTACATTAGATATCCAGTACTTCTTCATCTTACAACTGAAAGTTCATTTCCTCTGACCAACATCTCCCCAGTTCCCCTACATCCTACTCACTGCCTGGCAAACACCATTTTATTCTCTGCTTTTGTGAGTTCAACTTTTTCAGATTCTACATGTAAGTGAGATCATGCAGTATTAGTCTTTCTCTGGCTTATTTCATTTAGCATAATGTTCTGTAGGTTTATCTATGTTTTCACAATGGCAGGATTTTTTTCTTTTTCTTAAAGCTGAATAATATTCCGCTGCATATATATATATGCAGAGGAATATTATTATACATCACATTTTCTTCATCCATTAATCAGTTGACAGACACTTAGATTGTTTCAATATTTTAGCTACTGTGAATAATGCTGCAATGAATATGGGAGTGCAGGAATCTCATCAAGATACTGATTTTATTTCCTTCAGATACATACCCAGAAGTGGGATTGCTAGATCATATGATAGTTTTATTTTTTTTAGGAACTTCCATACTGTTTCTGCATAATGACTGTGTGAATTTATATTCTTACCAACAGTGTACAAGGTTTCTTCATCAATGCTTGTTATCTTTTGTCTATTTGGTAATAGCCATTCTAACTGGTGTGAGGTGTTATCTCCTGGTTTTGATTTGCACTTCCCTGATGATTACTAATGTTGAGCATCTTTTTATATACTTTTGGACACTTTTATGTCTTCTATTAAGAATATCTATTCATGTCCTTAACTGTTTTTTAATCAGGTTATTTGTATTTTGCTGTTGATTTGTTAGAGTTCCTTAGACATTTTATATATTAACCCCTTATTGGATATATGGTTTGCATATATTTTCTCCCATTTCATAGGTTACTCTTTATATTGTTGTTTCCTTTGTTGTGAAAAGCTTTTACTTTTGATGCAATCCCATTTGTTTTAGTTATTACTTTTGTTTCCTATGCTTTTGGGGTTATATCCAAAACTCATGTCCCAGATCAATGCCAAGAAGCTTTCTCTCTATGTTCTCTTTTAGTAGTTTTACAGTTTCAGGTCATATATTTAAGTCATTAATCTACTTTGAATTGATTTTTGTACATGGTGATATATAAGGATCCAATTTTTTTTTCATGTGGATATTCAGTGTTTGCAGAATGATTTACGGGAAGAACTATTCTTTCCCCCTTGTGTGTTTTTGGCACCCCTTTTGAAGATCAGTTGACTGTAAAGGTGTGGACTTATTTCTGGGCTCTCTGTTCTTGATCCATTGATCTATATGTCTATTTTTATGCTAGCTTTGATTACCATAGCTTTGTAATAAAATTTGAAGTCAGGGAGTATAATGCCTCCAGTTTTGTTCTTCTGGTTCAAGATAGTTTTAGCTTTTAGGGGTCTTTGTATACCTATTTCAGTTTTTTTCTTTGTGATGACTATGGGACCTTATAAAATATAACAGACAATTTAAGTTAAGAAATGTATTTCAATCACATATTAAAACTCTACACTTTTAGTTCTCCCCCCATTTTGTTATAGATATCACAATTTACATATTTTATATTGTATATACATTAACAAATTGTTTTAGCTATAGTTATTTTTAATACCTTTGTCTTTTTAAACTCTTTTCACTAGAATTAAAAGTGATTTATATACCACTATATAGGATGCTATGGTCTGAATGTTTGTTTCCCCTCAAACTTCATATGTTAAAATTTTGACACCGAAGGTGATAGTATTAGGAAATGGTGGGACGTTTGGGAGATGATTATGTCATGAGGGCAGAACCATCATGAAAGAGATTAGTGCGCTCATAAAAGAGGCCAAAGAGAGCCCTCTTATGCTTTCTTCCATATGAGATTATAGTGAAAAGATAGCTGTCTATGATGAAGTGCACTGTACTGGAGATGAGTCTGCCAGTGCTTTGATATCAGACTTTCCAGCCTCCAGAGCTTTGAGAAATAAATTACTGTTGTTTATAAGCTACCCAGTATGGCATTTTTTTCATAGCAGACTGAATAGAATAAGACCCAGTATTCAGAGTAGTCTGAATATAGCTATACAGATCTTCCTCAATTCATGATGAGGTTATGTCTTGATAGACTCATTATAAGTAGAAAATATCATAAGTCTAAAATGCATTTAATGCACCCAGCCTACTGAATATCATAGCCTAACCTAAACTGCTTTAAACATGCTCAGAACACTTACATTAGCCTACAGTTGGGCAAAATCATCTAACACAAATCCTATTTTATAGTAAATTGTTGAATAGTTCATGTAATTTATTGAATACTGTACTGAAAGTGAAAAACAGAATGACTGTATAGATACAGAATTGTTGTAAGTTTACCCTTTTGACTGTGTGGCTGACTGGGAGCTCTGGCACACTGCTGCTGCCCAGCCTCACAAGAGAGTATCATACCACATATTGCTGGCCCAGGAAAAGATCAAAATTCAAAGTTCAAAGTATGTTTTCTACCAAATGCATATTGCTTTTGCACCATCACAAAGCTGAAAAATCATGTCAAACCATATATATACTCACCTTTAACAGTGAATTTTATAATTTCTTGTGTTTTCATGTTGCTAGTTAGTGTCCTTTAATTTCAACTTGATGAACTTCCTTTAGCTTTTCTTTACAACAGGTTTTATGGTAGTTAACTTTCCCAGCTTTTGTTTATCTTGGGAAGTCTTTATCTCGCCTTCATTTTCAAAGGACAGCTTTGCCATGTATCGTACTTTGGGTTGGCAGGGTTTTTTCTTTCAGTATTTTAATTATCCCACTCTCTCCTGATCTGCAATTTTTCTACTGATAAATCCACTTTAGGATTATTAGGGTTCCCTTGTGTGTGATGAGTTGCTTTTCTTCTGCTGATTTCAAAACTTTCTCTTTGTCTTTGACTTTTGAGAGTTTGATTATAATATGTCTTGGACCTTTTGATGTCTAGCTTATTTGGGATCCTTTGGGAATCGTGGATCTAGATGCTCAATTCCCTCCCCAGATTTGGGAATTTTTAAATTATTTCTTTAAAGAATCTTTCGCTCTTATTCTCTGCTCCTTCTGGGACTTCAATAATGTATATATAGATTGGTTTAATGTTATCCCATAAACCACCTAGATCGTCTTCACTCTTTTTCGGTCTTCTTTCTTTCTGTTCCTCTAACTGGGTAATATGAAATGGCTTGTCTTTGAATATACTGATTCTTTCTCCTGCATGATCACTTCTGCTATTGAAGGTGTCTATTGAATTTTTGAGCTTAGTCATTGTATTCTTTAGCTCCAAGATTTCTGTTTGGTTCTTTTTTGTTTTCTATTTCTTTGTTAAGCTTCTCATTTTGTTTATCTCTTGTTTGTGGATTAATTTACTTGTCTGCTTTTTCTTATAGTTCATCGAGCTTCTTTAAGACTATTATTTTGAAATGTTAGTCAAGCAGTTCATGGATCATTAGGGGAGTTACTGGAGCTTTATTAGTTTCCTTTGATGTTGTCATATTTGCCTGACAAATATGACCTGTGCATTGATGTCTGTGAATTTAGAAAAGCAGACGCTCTTTCTGGTATTTACTTGTTTGAACTGCTAAATACTGTTGCTTCTTCCATGAACTTAGAGGACTGCCTCCAGGATCATGGTTGAGCTTGGCTGGAGCTGGATCTCACTGTTATTGCTGGGTCTGCATTTGGGTCTGAAGTTGGCAAGCCTGTTACCAAGGGCATGGATGGGTGTGATTTCTGCTAGGTCCCTGAGCATTCTCTCATTGGGTTGTTTGGCTGGTCCCTGGGCAGTCAGGACGTCCCTGAACTTCAGTAGAGTAGTACTGGAGTTTGGTCACAGGATGACTTTAAGGACCACAGTCAAGTTCAAGACATGAAGTTCTGTTGTCAGGGGTGATTACAGGTGTGGCTTTCACTGGGTCCCTGGGTAGAACACTGGGCAGGCAAGACTGCTTTGGACTACAGTCGAGTGGGACTGGATCTCGGTCACAGAACTGCTTCAGCAATAGAACTCAGGTCTGAGGCTGGTGGGCTTGCTACCAAGGGCATGGATGAGCATGGATTCCTCAGCAGAAAATGCTGGTGGCAGGACCATGGACAAGTGGAGCTAGAGTTGAGTTTACAGGAGAATAAGGCAGCTTTCAGTCTATAGCTGGGATCATAGTCAGTGAGTCTTCTACCAGTACATGTGCTTGTCTTCTCAAAGTGGCCCTCCTTGGTCTTGGGCTCCAATGGGGTTTCACAATCTCTAGATCTCAAAGCTCTCAGTTTTTTTTTGTAGATGGCTGCCAAAACTTTGTTTCTGTAGAGGGTGGAGACAAAGACTAGAGACCTCCTCTTCTACCATCTTGCTCATGTCACTCCCAACATGTGACATTCTCTTTGTGCCTGTGGGTGTGTATAAGTCTATCAATTCACACATATCAACTGGTTCATTTTTTACCAAAGTTGAAAATATTAGAATAAAACATATTTGTTCAACAAATTATTTAGTAACATTAATACACAGCACTATGCTAGGTGCTGAGAATGATGGGAAGACACGGGAGGCAGCATTTCTGTGCTTAGGAAGCTCATGATATAGAAGGGCCTTCAACAAGGCCAATGTACAAGAAATATCTATGTAACAAGATCTCAGTTAAACAATTGTCCAAGCAAAGTTACCAATGATCATAAAAGTGGTTAACAAACTATATGCCAAGTAGCTGGTAATGACTTCATGAAACAGATAGACAGTAGGAGATGGAGGGGGCAGGGATGAGGTGCAGCACAATGTGAGAAAAAAAGACCCCATAGTTGGAAGCTGCATGGAATACTCCAGAAATAGGAAGCACATCCTAGTGTGGCACCAAAACAAAGGAGCAGGATAGGGTAATGGCCAGGAACATGTGCTTTGGGGTCAAACAGGATGGGTTCAAATAAATGGGTTAAAAACTCAATTCTGCCCTTAACAGCTACTTAAACAGTTTCTGGTCTGTAAAATGGAGATAATCATAGAACTTTCCTCATAGGGATAGTTAAGATTACATGAAATAATGTATGTGAATATCTACCACAGAGAATACACTCAGAAAAATATTAGCTACTTATAAAACAATACAAATCCATGGTGCCAAGATATTTAGAAAATAGCAAATAATCCATTGCTCTGATTATAACACTTAGGTTTGGATTACTTCTCATCATTCCCATGTGTACAGGGATAATATCCCTTTTGCTCACTGCTGGATTTCCATTGCCTTGTCCAGTTCCTAGATACAGTTGGCATTCCACAAATTTCTGTTGAATGAATGAATCAAATCTCTCCCTCATCTGGAATGTGTAATCAGTTTACAAACTAGTCAATTTTGCCTCCTCTGCCTCTCCAGTATCCCTTTCTCAAACCCGTATCCTCCCGAGTAGAAATACTTACTAATGTAGTACTTTAATTAATTCATTACTCAATAAATGTTTACGAAATGTCTCTTATAAAGCAGGCACTGTTGTAAATTCTGCGTGATATTTGGTGAACATGAGAAGACCCTGCTTTCACATAGCTTCTATTCTAGAGAAGGGAAAGTAAACAAACAAAGTAAACAAGCAAAATAATTTCAGATAAACATTCTGAAGAAAATTAAATATCATCATCTCTTGCTCTGCCTTCCGTCCAGTCCTTCTGCTTTACATCTGCCAGAGTGCTCCAATAAGTTACAACTTTTAATCTTGTCACTTTCCTACTTGAAACGTTTCCATGGCTCCCTGTTACTTTTATGATGAAACCATAGCTACATACCATCCATAACTTAGGCCCTGCCTATCTGTCTAATTTGATTTCCCCTAAACTCTCTACCTTCCAGAACCACTCCGGCATTCAACTTCTAAACACCAGTGCTATTTCTTCACATCTGTGCCCTTTCTGTCTTAATTACACCCCCCCATCAGCTCTTGCCACACACAACACCTTTGCCTGGCTGACTCCTATGTTCACATTCAGTCTTCTCAAGCATCACTTCCTTCAGGTATCTTTCATGGTCCACCCACCCTCTTTGCCACACACTGACTCACATACACAGACCCTACATACTGGGATGGGTGACCCTTCTGCCTTCAAGATGCCCATGTGTATTTCTGTTACTGCACTTATACCCTGTATTATAATTATATTATTTTGCTTCGGGTTTCTGTTTATCCCACCAATCAACTTCTTTTATCAGATACCATTTTTTATTCATCTTTTTTATTCACGCTTTAGTCCAAGCACAATGACCAGTATAAATAGACATTTGACAAATGACTATTACATTAAAAAATAAATTTTAATGAAAGAAATAATAAATGAATGAAAAAAAAAACAAGCATTCCCTTTGAAAAGCCAAAGGTTCCTTGCTCTGTGCTCATCTCTGCCTCTTTATATTTTTACAGCTCCTGTCGGTGGACAGTTTGGTGAGTTCTCCTTTCTTATGTACTTCAGTGTCCCTGGATAAGAGTGTCTCCCTAATAAATATGAAATATTTGTGATGATTGCCTGAGGATCTCTAATATCTCCTGTTTCTCTTGCTGAGGTCGGCAAAGATGTGAAAGTGTCACCTGGTCTATTGGCATTGCCCAAGAACTAGGATAGCCATGTGGTCATCCTCTGACGCTCCCTGGAAGAAGCAGCAAATGTACAAGAAACTCCTGGCCTTCACTAGGTCCTGCCCTTACTCTTATTGCAAATGGACCCCAGATAAGAAGGCAGGACATCTTAACTCCATATCAAATGTGCAGGACTTGGGATAAGACGTTCTCCAATCAGCAAGTCTGCAAAACTTCTCTGAAAACATCACACTGTGGAGATACCAGTGGGAATGTTGCATTCTCTAAAGTTTTAGGAGTAAAATCCTCCAGGAAATGTGTAGGGAGCATAAGAACATCCAACAAATGGTCTCTTAAAAGGAAGAAATGCACAAAAAGAGGAGATTGAGGGAGAAGACAAATTGTCTGTATCCCACATTTTTTTTAAGTTCTAACACTTAATTGCCAATCTTTTGGGTCAGAGAGTATTTTGGATATTTGAGGACTCATAAATAGCAAGAACTCACTATCACCTCTCTCCTGTCCAAAATCAGCTGCCCAGTGTTTCATCCTTAATTAGATCACCTCTGGATTCTAGCTAACAACTTGTCCATTCCTTGCTCTACCACAATTAGCTATGATGGGATTTTTCTGAGCATTTCCTGGGCATAATCTATAAGATGAAGGTGTTAGACAAGTTAATCTCTCAAGCTTTTTCCAGTGCCAAAATCTTAATATGATTTATCCTTTTTTGGAAAGTGCAAAATTGTGATTTTAACAACTCCCTGGGAAGTTCTTATGAGTTTATGAACATGATGAAGTGGCAGGGGCAGGGGATGACATTTCCCAGGATCCAATTCCATAACAGACTAACCTACCATTTTTTTCCCATTGACATATGGCAGTGAACCTTGCCTGGTATCACCCTCTTGAAATCATTTTGCTCATTGTCATCCCCTCAGCAATCACTTTCTGCTGGGTGATTGTTTTAGTTGAAACACAGACTTGAGCAATCAGTGACCTTCCCAGGGGGATTTCTTAGGGATTCTCCAAAGCCAGGACCTCCAGTCTGGGCCTCACAAACCACTGTGATGGGGACTGCAGGCCACTCCACCTCAGATTCTTTCTCTTTCATCCACAGCAACTGAACCAAAATCTGTAATTTTCCTCCATTCTCCATGGACCACTGTCTTCCAAGGAGAGAATGTGACACTGACTTGCAAAGCGTTTCACTTGGATGCATCAGAGAAAATAAAATGGTACCGTTGGTATCTTCTGGGAGAAATACAAAGTGAAACCTCAGGAAACACCCATGAGGTCCATGAATCTGGAGATTACAGATGCCAGGCCCAGGACTCACCCCTGAGTAATCCTGTGGGCTTGCTCTTTTCTCCAGGTGGGAAAGAAATCAAAGAAAAAAGTTTAGAAATAATAAAGTTACCCAGAACTCAGCTATATTTACTAATTCAAAAGCTATAGAAATAGGGCCCAGGAATTTATATATTTTACAAGCTGCTCAGGAAAAAGGAAATTTGAGAAGCAATTTATCTGAATGGTTTCTGAAACTATGTATAGTTTGAGGCTTATAAAATTTATTTGGAATAATAATCTACATGAGGATTTGTTAATATTTGACAGATAGCTAGATAGTTAGATAGATAGACAGAAATTTCCATTTCTGTCCCAAAGCCACCTGTTTTGAGTTGAAGCAGTATCTTTCTAGTTATAATGCTCTTTAATTTAGTGAACAAGGAAGCAGTATAGTAGCAAAGAGCTAAGAGCTTCTTTGACCTGACAATTCCCCTCTTAAGAATTTACCTACTGAAATAATCATAGATATACACAACCAAAATTGAAGAACATTAAATGGTCAAGAAAAGAAAACTCATTAAATAAATTACCTTACTGCCATTGTAGGAAAACTCTGTGGTCATTGAAAACCAGATTAGGGAATGATATTGATGACATAGGAAAGTGTTCATAGCAAAGTAAGTGAAAAGCAACTTATCAAGTAGATAAATATTTTAATTTCATAAAAAGGAAAGAAATACACACAGACTCTCATATACATGTACATAGAAAAAAGAACTTGAAAAAATCTGGGTGGTGAGATGACAAGATTAATTTACATTTCCGTTTACAAAATTTTCTCAAACATATGTGTTCCTTTTAAAACCAGAAAAAAAGAGGGATTTCCCAGGTTGTCCAGTGGTTTGGACTCCACACTTCCATTTCAGGGGCATGGGTTTGATCCCTAGCTGGGGAACTAAGATCCCGCAAGCCGCGCATCATGGCCAAAAAATAAAATAGATAGATAGATCGATAAGACCAGAAAAAAAGAAATGATAATTATTTTAAGAATCCTTTTTCCTAGTCCCTTTCTTATAAAATCTATTGGAATAATAATGAAAAGAAGGGAGAAACAATCAGATGAAACAAACAACTGTCCATGTGTTTCCTACAGCCAACCTGATCCTGCAGGCTCCACTTGATGTGTTTGAAAAAGAATCTGTAATTCTGAGATGCCGAGCAAAGGCAAACACAGTACTGAAAACTATAAAGCTGTACAAGAATGGAAAAGTCCTGGAAGATCACACTATGGAGATACCAGTGGAAATGTTGATTGACTTCCATATTCATCAGGCAAGTCTGAAGGACAATGGCAAATATCACTGTACTGGAGTTAAGGAAAATGATCAGTTGGTTTCTTCAAACTCGGTCAAAATCGAAGTCCAAGGTAAAGCCTTCATTATTTTGTGAAATAAGTTAGTCTAAAGGAGGACCCCTGAGATTGTAGAGGATAAAGAGGGTGGACTGTAATACCATTGAACCTCAGGGCACAGTCCTACAAGGAACAGAGAAAGTACTACTGTGCTTTGGGCTGAAGGATATTAGTAATCAAAGGTGGCATCTCTTCTGCCTGCCTTTGTATGCTCTGCTTGCTCGTGCTGAGGATGAACTGTGTTTTTCTCCAGAGCAGTTACAAGCCTCACTGCTCCAGGGACTGTTTTGATTCTTCTCTTTAGAGCTGTTTCCACGTCCTGTGCTGAGAGCCAGCTCCACCCAGCCCACTGAAGGAGGAGAAGTGACTCTGACCTGTGAGACCCAGCTCTCTCCACAGAGGTCAGATGTCCAGCTCCAGTTTCACTTCTTCAGAGACAGATGGTCCCTGGGGTCAGGCTGGAGAAGCTCCCCAGAATTCTGTATCCCCACCATATGGAGAGAAAACTCAGGGTCTTACTGGTGCCAGGCACAGAGCATGACTTCCTCTGTCCAGAAACAGAGCCAGAGATTACAGATACAGGTGAAAAGTAAGTGTTAGTGAGGTGAGACTTGCTGGGGCTGGGGCTGGGAAGAGCTGGGCAGAGTGGCACAACAGTTGTTTATTTTTTTCTTTCAATCCCATGAGATACAACTCTTTCTTTTTCTTCTGAAGTTTCTCTTCCTTGACACCATTTTATTTTTCCTGGTAGGCCTATGGGCTATGGCAGAGCTCTCCGACTGGGCTGGATGGACTCTGCTCAGCCAGATGGACAGATTCCTAGAATGCTAGATCCCTGGAGCAGAGCACTTAAGAATAAAAAAGCAAAGGACAAGAGATTGGGGAGTAAATAGTTTCAACTTGCTGTCTTTAAGGATGGTGTTTTACCCAGGATTACTTTTCCCT